CTTTGACTCCTCATTCCCTCAGGCAGTGAGTAATGACCGGTCCCCTATGAGAATTTAGAGGAAAAAACGAAGATCTATTAATATAGAGGGTTTGGTTAAATGTCAGAAACTAGCGACTTTGGTTGCTGATTTTTTTTATTATTATTATTTTCTGTTTTCCCACTTTGTACTGATGTGATGGGCATTATTTTCCAAATAGGACGAGATGGACGCGATGGGATAGTTGGAGCAAAGGTTAGTTTTTACACCAAAAAATATATTATGGAAATAAAAGTCAAGGAATAGAGATGTGCTGAACTTTACAATAGAACATCAATCAAACGGTTGCTAGGGCTACCAAAGGTTATTCTTATCCATTTTTCATTATCCAGGGGGAGAAAGATGAATCAGGCATGTGTAGTGTGAATGAAAAAGCTGGTGTCAAGGTGGGAAAATTTGTATTTATCATATCTAACCTAAAGATGTGAAAATCTTTGTTAATTTGGTTTTGAGTAATTTTATCTGCCTTGATCTGAGTTGACACTTGAGCTTTTACCAAGCACTTGGTTTCAGTTTTGAAATGGTAAAAGAATTATTATTTTTTTTTGTCAAGGGAAACATTTTCCCTTACTTATCTGAGTTTGACACTTTCAATGAAGTGTGTTTCTAGTACATTAAAGTTTGATTTTTTTTCAGGGGAAGAAGGGTGAACCAGGGCAAAAGGGAAGGGATGGTAGTTCTAGTTCCAAAGTAAGTTCCATGAATCATTCAATCACTGTGAATGTATAAAAATCATGTATGTGAACTGCGGTTTAAGAATTGAATATGAAAGCGATCTTAGTAATGAATCGTTCACTTGAATTATAGAACTCAACAGAAACTGATATTAATAAGCACGTGTGAGGATTTGTCACTACACAGCTAGGGGGGACAGCAACTTCCTGAGGACAGTCCAACACAACTTAAGATATGAGAAGATTTAAAAAATTCACGTCTCCAACTTGTTTGAATAAAAATAAACGAGGCAAATATCATCAGTTCAAATCTGTTCCCAGAACTACATAGCATGTCTCGATTGCAGAATTCTTTTTTCCTTTGTTTTTTTTTTTTTTTT